GTTTTTAGCCAAGAGAATTAAAATTTAAACAAAATTATTCTTAATGAAATCGACCGATTTATTTGGCTTCCCACCTCAATCCGAAACTTATTAACGGGTCAAATATGTTTAGGTTTGTACTTCAAATCGATTAATATTCTTTGAGCTTTTCTAATCAGACTATTCATTTTTGGAGTATTCTTTATTAGAAAGAAAAATGTTTAATCATTATGAGCATTTTTGAGTAGTTTTTAATACATGAAGAAAACCTTTGAGCATTTTGAGCATTTTTAATCATTTTGCAATGATTTTTAATATATGAAAAAAAAACTTTGAACATTGTGAGCATTCTTTGTCAAGTAGGCATATTCATTAATTATGTTGTTAAATAGAATATAGTATATCGTTTGAAGTTATTGATTTTATTAAATGAAATTTAGTAGTTTTTGTGATTTTTGAGCATTGTGTAACTAACTTTGGGCATTGCGTGATTACTTTTTAAGCATTCCATGACTAATTTTTAAGTATTGCATGACTAGTTGGTAGGTATTACATGACTTATTAGTAAGGCATTGTCTGACTTAGACATTGCTTAAAAATCAGTCACGCAATGCTCAAAAATTAGTCATGCAATACCTAAAAACCAGTCACGTAATGCCTATAACTAATCATGTAATGTCTAAAAACAGTTATGCAATGATTAAGTCACGCAATGCTTAAAAACCAATCTTTCAATACTTAAAAATTAGTCCAATCAATTTCAACTCCTCAACTTTGAGATTCTATGAATAAACTAATAAACTCAAGAATCTAGAACACATACGTTTTTTCTTTTGCTAAACCATGAAATTGTGTATTTCATAAAAGATAGGTTACAAAACTCTATAACCTTCTAAAGCAAGACAAAATATATCCCTATCAGGAGGGTTTTGCTCACTCCCTTTATGCAAAAACAAAATACACTTCCTTTACAAAATATTCCCTGAACAAGTTCAACTCAAAATCCCATAAAAAAATTCAAAATCCCCAGCAAACATGCTTAACAATCATCCCAATCCTAGATACAACAAAACCGTGAACTACCATAAAATCCATCAAACATGCTTTAACTATTCCTTCTCCCTAAGCCCATCATCTTAACTAATTCAATCCAATTCATCAACATAGGCATCTCCATCGCAACACACATTTCGAAGCAAGTCATCACAAGAAAGCATCTAGTTACCACATTTATCATACTACTTACAATCACCATAAAAGAGCAAAATCATTATTTATCACCTTTGAGAACCCTAAGATTCACCTTTCAAAAAAATAAAACAAAATAAGAAAGAGCTTGATGTCTTCTCTACTTTTTGGATGGCGAGATAAACAGTATTTGACCAGAGAGAGAAATTGATATTTAATTTTGAAATTGTTATCTTGATGGTGGGATAGAGAAAACTGAAATCATTTTAATTTGTATAAAATTATTTAAAAAGTATTGTTATCAAGTCCAGCAAAAAATTGACTAAAAATAGTTAAAATTATAAAAAAGATATTTTTGAATTAAGCTTATGTGTAAGGTTATCTCTCATAATTTCTTTTTTTTTTCTTTTCTTCTTTCATTTCTCCTTTCTTGGTGCCCTAGTCTTCTTTACCTTTTTCTTCTTTTTTTTTCTTTTTTCACTCTTCCTAAACAACACCAATTGGTGTCTTATCCTCACCAAACCATAGATATTTAAACGTCATTTTTTCTCTTTACCCTCATTTCTCTATAGTCTTTTTCTCTCTAGCGACACTTTTCTTTCTCTTTTTAAAAGAAAAAACAACCACTGTCGTTTATCACTTGCTAACGTTGAAAAATCTCCAAAATTTCACCTAAAACTCCTCTTGATCTTCGTCACCTTTTGATCGGATTATTTTCTTCGAAAACCTCTCATTTTTTCCTATATTTAAGAAAAACAAGGTTAAAATCTTTTTTGGGGTTGTGTTCATTGGCTGCTAAATATAAGGCTTTTTTTTTCTTATATTTTTGAGTTTTCGAGAGTTTGATTTTTCTAAGGTTTTCCTCCTTTTTTCTAGGACATTTTAAAATTTCTCTTTTTCTTTTGATTTTTTCTAAGGCTTTTTCCTAAGGCTTTCTCTCATGTTTTTTATCTTGAGATTTTTCTTCTTTTTTTTTCTGTTTTTTGCAAAATCGTTATCTCACTCCTCAATTGTACTCCCCTCTCCTAGTTTTATAACCAAAAGAGATGTGGTCATTTTTGTAATGCTTCCATTTGTAGTGAATAAAAGGCTTGCCCATTGCTTTTAGGAGCGCGTTTCCTTATTTTTTGATTTGATTAGCCTTTAGTTTGTGTGTTCTTGTTGTGCTTTTATTTGAAGGAGGTTTCTAGAGATTTCAAAAGAAGTGTTTAGGCAAAAAACGAGCTGCGGGTGGTTCTAGGCAATAGAGGTGGCAGTTGCCTAGCCAACTACCATCATAGGCTACTAAGCGATTGTCTTGGATTTTTAAAAATTTTCTTTTATTTTTTTCATTTATTATTATTTATTATTGTTAATATTTTTATTTTTTAATTTTGATTGATTTTCTTTTTTTTTTGGTGGTGTTATTAACTTCGTTTAGTTAAAGGCCTTTGGGCCAAAAAAGTTTAAGAAAGATTTATTAGTGGTAGCTTAAGACGCATTGGACTTAAAAGCTTGTAAGACCCAACCTTAAAATTAAATTTTCATCCTCAAGAGCCCAATCATTTAAAATCATATATAGTTTGGCCCAATACAAAAGAAATAAGGATAAAAATAAAATAAAATAAAGGGTAATAACTTAAATTATCTGAACAAAATGAGGTGTTTACATTAAAGCAATCAACAAGTAAAAAAAAATGAAAAAGCAAAACCTAAAAGAAATCTACAAAAAAATGAACAATTTTTTAAAACAAGAATAACATTTGAAGCACCAAAAGAAAGCAAGAAAGTTGTAGAAAAGGAGGAAAAGAAACCAAAAAAGTAAAAGAGACAAAAAATGCAAGAAAAAGAAACTTAGAAACCCAAACCAAAAAGAAGTAAATGAGACAAAGAAGTAGAAAAAAAATCCAGAAATCCAAATCGAAAAAAAAAACTTGCAAAAAAAAAAAAAACAACCTTGAAATCTGAAGAAAAGAGTAGGAAATTTGAAGAATAAGAACGAAAAGAGCAAATGAAACAAAGCAAGTAAGAGAGAAGAAAGATGAAAAGATGGAAAAACCAAAGTGAAATAAAAAGACCCAAACAAAAAAAAAACATTAGAAAAATATTGAAGTAAAATAAATAAAGGAGAGAGAGAGAGAGTAACAGAGAACTCTGATTAATAACAAATCACAATTACTGAAAAACCCTCAACCTATAGACAAAAAAAAAAAAACCCTTTCATTTTCTACTCACGATATGTGCATCCCAAAATTAGATCCATTATAAAGACAAAAAAATAATCTCCTTCTACAAAATACCACCTGCACCCCCAAATTCAAGTCAAAATCAGATGTGGCACTCTAATTTCACTCAATTGTCCCCTCCTCGAGACAACATTTAATTATAGTAAATTCTTAACATTATTCCTAAACACATTACTCGTGTATGATATTTTATAAATATTTGTATATTTTGTTTCTTACAAATAGTTTTTATACAAGAATTAAATTTATTACGACATTAATTATATAATATTTTAAGTCTTATTGACCTATCAATTGCTTAAGCATTGCATATTCTTAAATTTCTGTATAACTTGAAAAAGTGAGTGTTCATATTTCTGAAAGATTTCCCATGGAATTTTGGATAGAATGTGATGCTTTTTCGATGGAATTTGTTAATATTTTTGATGGAATCCATTGGCCTAATTGATGGAACTCCAATTTCAAAAAAAAAAAAGTGATGGAACTTGCAAAAAATTCTGAAATAACTGTAAGAAATTCGATTGGCTATTTCATCAATATTTTTTCAACAAAAATTTTGAGGTTTTTATTTTCGATGGAAATTCATAATTTTTGACAGATTTAGTTTACTGAAAACTGTTTTGTTAATTTTTTTGAGGAAATTTTCCTTTGAAAATTAGTTAGCAAAATAAAATATCCATGAAACATTATTCTTTTTCACTAATTTTCCGATTGGAAGGGTTTTTTTTTTTTTTTTAGTGTTTCTAATAAAAAAGCCAGGATAAGTAGAGGAATGTAAAGCACTATGAATTTCTTCAACACCAGTACCCCAGCTAATTGAAACAAAAGATTAAATTTCTTAATCAGGAGCCATGATTCAAGTTCAATATCCCAATCTAATCCTGAAATGTGCTTTGAAGAGAACAAAACATTGTACCGAGTAGCGAGTGCTTGAATTGTCTTTCAATTCAAATCGTATCTTGAAAAAAGGGATCTCAAGTGAAATCTTAAGTGAAATTTATAAAACACAAGAGAGTTACCTTCACTTTTGCGTAATAAAACATTGATTTAAACGTGTTTTTATGTTCAAATGATATCAGACATATATGCTGTAGACACATTGAAATTTGCCCACAAATCTATTTGTACGAATATCATTGGTACTTGGCGTTCAGTGGCAACAACAACTAGTCTAAAGAGTCTCTAAAGCGACTGCTTTTATGGTGGTTCAGGCTCTTAGCAGATTTAGACATATCTGTATTCTCTTTGTCATAATATTGGATTAATTGCCTGTCTCGATCTTGGTCGTCATACCGTTATGACTTCATTTCTTGTCGTTTCCAGGTTTCTTTTGCCTTGGAAGATTTTTACTTGAGTGTGCAACAATCATGGTAGCATGCTTAAAAGAACGTCTGGAATAAACTGGCAAATGGGAACTTGTCTAATAAAAATATCACCCACCACACCTAAGCCAATTAAATGTAGTAAATAGACCACATCAGTAGCAAAGGGTCTCTCTTCTTCTGATTGGATAAAAATGACTGCCTTAGTTATTGTGTGGTTACGTTTTTGGTTTGCTCTTTTCCTCTTCTACAACAGGAGCTTAACTCTTAAGTCAACAATCAAATTTATAAATGTATCAGATTTTTGTTCCTGGTATCCTTCTTCAAATGAGATATATATGTCACTTACTGGGGATATCTTCAATGAGTTAACACCATAAAAAACTATTGAAAGAGGTTCAGAAATTCTTTGGCTCCTAAGCTCTGGAAATCAAGTTTAGCTTGAGTTTTCCCAAAATCAAAGTTGCCAGCAGGTGTGTACACTCTCTCAAGCTTCTGCATGCATGTCAACTTACAGGCCAATCATTTTGCTTTTCTAGCTGGCTGCATTTCATCCTTGGTATTGTTCTACAGTTTAGATTCTTCACAGTAAAAGCAAAAAAGAATAAGAATGATAGAATCTGCTATTGTCATTTAGTCCTGGACATGAATAGGTTTATTTTAATAAGTTTTTCAGGAATCAAAGACAATTTTAATTTGCTCAAACCTTCCTGTTTTTCAGACTTTGAGTTTGTCTTATACTATATGTGATTAGGAGAATTTAATTGTGTTTTCTTCCAAGAAACAGGCAGCTTCATCAGTTTCTCATTCCAATCTTAAGAAAGAAATATTAAGAATACTGGTACTGATAAAAAAAAAAAAATAGTAAGTTATAGTACGACATTTGGACAAACCTTTTCTGAAGAATGTATAAATTGGATACTAGACAATAGTCATTTCGAAGTTCATTTTTTCTTTTTCCCCAAATGCATTTAACTCTTTCTTAGGTGGGCTCGTGAAGGTCTCAATTCACTTAAAGCAAGTTCTTATCTGAAATTTGAGAAAGCCTGTCTTTTCAATGCCCTTTTGCCCTTTCCTGTTTTTGGACATTTTCAGTTACTAGGCATAAAGCCATGATTTCTCTTCAAAATCAGCATGGTTTTCAAACATAATCAAACTTCCTAAATACAGTAGTATTGTTGGAACCCTTTTCCTATTAACTTTTTTCCTTCATCTATTTATTTTGGCTCAGAAAGGCTTCTTAAAATCTTTCTTGCTGCTAGCAGTTTTGAGATTTTTCCTAGAAGTTTCAAAACAAACTTTGGCAATGGGGTTTCTGGATCTGTTTGTTGTGGCACTGATGCCAGTTCTGAAAGTATTACTGGTAACTGGTGTGGGCTTGTTTCTTGCCATGGAACAAATAAATCTCCTGGGGCCAGAGGCAAGGAACTACTTGAACAAAGTAAGTTAATACATTTCTGAATCCCCTTTTACTACCATGCATAATATGATGTTGGAAAAACATTTATATAAGTAGTGAGCTGATAACCAACATCTTTTACTACTACTATTTTTGGCCTGATTCAATAGCATTAGCAGTCAATTCAAACTTTGGTTCTTCAGTGTGATCTGTGGGTTCTTATTTTAATACAATTCTGACTTTCCTAAATTGTTCATGCTTTTAAACTTTTATGCAATCATGCTTCATTCCAAGAGGACTTATACAAGTTGAGATACTTTTACAACTTCTCTTCTACTGATGTACAGATTGTATTCTATGTGTTAAGTCCTTCTCTTTTGGTCAGCAACTTGGCCGGAACTATAACTTACAAGAGCGTGGTTACTTTGTCAGTTTCCCTTCCACTCTTTATTCTGTTTCAGCTGCTTGCTTGGTTCGTTTTCTCATCTCTGGCTAAATCTTATGCTAATCCCTGGTTCTGTTTCTTATTTCTTTGTAGGTGGTTCATGCCATTGAATATTCTTCTAACATACATTATTGGCTCAGCTCTTGGTTGGGTTATCATAAAAATCACTAAAACCCCCGAACACCTTCGAGGAATTGTCATTGGTTGTTGTTCTGCAGGTTCTTTTTTTCTTAGAATTTTCCCTATTTCTAATCTTTCCCTCCATTAGAAGAAAGGGTTCCTTTTGTTTTCATCTTTCTTTGAGCTGCTGCTGTTGTCGATGCGCAGGAAACTTGGGAAACTTGCTTCTCATTCTTGTTCCAGCCGTATGTGAGCAGTCAAATAGTCCATTTGGAGATTCATCTACTTGCTCTACAAATGCTGAGGCTTATGCTTCACTATCTATGGCAGTATGATCTCTGATTCTAATCTTTTGGACTTTCAAAGTCAGCTTTCTAGCAATTCTTCCAAATGTGGATTACTAACTTGATTTTTTTAATAATAGAGTACTAAGTTGTTCACCCTTTTCCCCAAATCAGCCTTAGGAATGGTGTGACATTCATTTAAAATATGTTTTGACTTAGCTTATCAGTAAAAGGATACATCTTGTTTTGTTGAACTTTGCATCTGCAGGTAGCCGCCATCTATACTTGGTCATATGCGTATGCTGTGGTGAGTGCTTATGCTATTAAGAGCGCAGAACACAAGTCTACCCATTCTGCTGAAGAGGCCCCTGCACCATCTTCAGACAGTTGCACGGAAACACTACTACCGTCGAGTTATAGCCAAATTTCTGACGAAAGCTCAGTGCAAGTTGAACTGCCTCTCACCAACTCCGAGGAAAGAACAAAGGTTTACCCTGTCTTTATTTTCGTATTAAGCTGCTATCTTTAGTCACAGATTTGTTATCGATATCTAGCTTAATCATTCGTGAGGCTAGGATATTTGTTGCCAATACTGATTGGACCCTGATCCTAAGTTTAAACATTCAATATATCAAAGCTTGGGTCAAAATAGCAATGCTGTTATTCTGTAGTGACTATATGTTATAGGTGCTAGTAAAACCCTGTCTCATTGCAGTATATGCAGGTTTTGCTGAGAGTTTAGTCGCCTTGTAGAATGAGATATCACTCATCAGCCTTTATTTAATTGGCTACGAGTGCCATTGAGCCTTAGGTGTTGGATTCATTTAGTTTATTTTCCTTTTCTATTCATGCTGAGATGAGAGAGTGAGACCCTCTTTGTAGGGTGTTCATGTGTAAGTTCGATGACTTACTGAGAATTAAAGATCACCATGTCTGGTATCATATAAAATAAAAATGAAATAACCATGTTTTAAAAGTTAAAAGGATTTTGAAAGAGTAAAAACTTACCATGTAATTTCTTTTATATGTGAAAGAAAGTTTTTTTTTTTTTAAATTTATTTACATGTTAAAAGGTTAAATTTGTTTATAATTGATTTTTATAGATCACTACACCTCAATGGATAAAAGTTGCTAATCCTTTTGGATGAAAATAAGATCACCCTTCAGGACAATGATCTAATCACTCTCGATAATCCAAGTTTATTGTCATGTAAAATCACTAAGTTTCCCCAAATACTGTGATTTAATCACTAAATATATATCACCTTTTGATTTGGAATTATTATCCCTTTTCAATTTTTTGTTTTATTATTGTTTTTAATGTTATAGAATGTTGTAATGATATTCAGGTTTAGACCTGACAGCATCTATGAGAATCCTGTTTTTGCTTTGAGGAAACCTTTTGTTAATCTCCATGAAGGAATACATTAAGGCATATTGCTGACCATAGCATATTGATCAGTGATGCTACTAAATGGATGCATTTGCCTTTTCTTTCTTCCCTCCAATGACAATGCTATCAACTTCTTATAGATGTCATTTTGCAAGAAGATTGCTCAGTGTGTCAAGAGCATTATGAGCAAGATCGACCTGAAGAAGGTGTTCGTACCATCAACTATTGCATCGGTATGCACCATATCAGTGACATCTACTGCATCTGTGTATCCCTGCACATGAATGTCTCATCACTAATTTAACTATCCTTTCTTTATGCCATTTTCCCTTCAGATTATTGGGTTAATCTTCGGGATAGTCTCTCCAATCCGAAAAGTACTAATTGATGATAGTGCCCCTCTTCACGTAATTTACACTTCTGCAGCTTTGATAGGGTATATCTTATTCCACATCCCTTTTCTATTCTAACACATGGAACTTCAGATATATTTTGTATTAAAAAGGTAATTGAATCTGACTAACAGGGAGGCAGCCATTCCCTGTATGACCTTGGTAATGGGGGCAAACCTTCTCAAAGGTGGTTTCCTGTTCTCGCTTTTAAAAGTTAATAATGCTTGCTTTTACCATTTAGCTGTTTCAGGTTAGTAAAAGGAAAAACATTATCGTTTTAGCAGAGATCCAGTTACAAGCTTGTTCTTGCAGGTCTAAAAAGATCAGAAATGAATCTGTTCGTCATTATAGGGGTGGTAGCAGTGCGGAATATTTTCTTGCCTCTCTTGGGGATTGGTGTTACTAAAGCTGCATATCATTTTGGAATGGCTGGATCAGATTCCTTGTATCAATTTGTTCTTATGCTTCAATACGCTGTTCCCCCTGCAATCAACGTAGGTATGATTAGCCTCTATCATATTCTTTATATGCATATATACTGAAGATTTTAGATTTAAAGGGACAAATATAAAAAATTTAATATTATAAAATTTACTAAAAATAGGGGTGAAATTATAAATATTTAAAACAAAAAACTAGAAAAATATTATAAATATTTGGAACTTTGGGGGGCGGAGGCCCTTACTAGGCTCCGGTTCCTCCGCCTTTGCGCACTATGTATGTGTGTATGTATAGGTATATTACATATATTTCAAATTCCAGAGTTTCCACCAACTTAGAATTCTTGTCCAATCGTGAACACCTTGAACGACTCTTGACTAAAATCCTGGTTTGAACAACTTTGCACTATAGTCTGCATTTTTTTTTTAAATTAAGCATCATTTCAATTCATTGCAAAAAGGGTAATCCCCGTATACAGATTTCAGGAAGGCCCACAGCTAGGGAGAGCAACTCTGTTCTTCCCATCAGTATCCTGGTTATACAAAAATTGCCAGTCGCTTCAAGCCTTCCTTTTCTATACAAAAACAAAAAATGTAACCCATAACCCATAACATCCTGTATACCTACTTGAGACCTTCATAACCAGAACCTTCCATAAAGCAAAATCAGTAAGAATGGGAACCAAAGGCAGAAACTTTGTTTCCTAGTCTTACCAAGTCCAATAAACACTGCCCCGCGCACAAAAATCTTCAAACCTTATGGACGAATTGAAGCAAAGTTTTGTGAGGACATCATGGCACAACATGTCACCCGCCCCCTCCCATCTGTTCAACAGAAACAGCACGCAACAAACACAACAGACTCAGGGGGAATAATGTCCACAGTCACCAACGATCACACCTACCTTATGGATACACTCGTAGCAGGTGATTAGCTATTTTGTTATGAAAATTGCAAAATAATCTCAAAAGAGTTGTTCAAGATTTTACCCAATCAATAGAATAAAGAAAAAAAAAATCAAGTAGACTCACCAGAACACAAGAATTTATATGGTTTAGTTTTTTGATGACCTACGTCCACGGACACTATAACAGAGAACGATCCACTAAGAGAAAAATCAAGAGATTAGAAAAATAGTCTTAAACTTACAAGCCTTATCCCACGTACACTCAAATCAACCTCTTTAAATCTAGGTGTTCCCTATTCTTTAACCCCATAAGATTCTTTTATAAGACAAACTACAATAATTTTATCCTAATACAATTAGGATATGTTTTCTTATTCTAGCTAGATTTAAATACTATCTTAACATGGTATACAAGTTTAACTAGAATTAAAATATCCTAGTTAGACTACAATTCAAGGCTATCCTAATAAATCTCCACTTTAGGCTTTAATTCACTAAGCTCCACCTTATGAACCAATCTCTGTCGACACCACCAATGACCTAAAGGGCCTTAAGCACTATGAACACCGAACAAGTCCAAGCAAGGCTTGAACTTTATCCCAGATACTATCTCAATCAACATATTTACCAAATTTTCCACTATAGCTATTTTCGTCACTACAATATCACATCTAGAAACAATCTCACGAACAAAGTTCCACATGACTTGCATGTGTTTGATTTTCGCATGAAACATTTGATTTTTAGTCAAGTGTATGGAACTTTAACTATCACAAAACACAAGTATTTATGCTTGTCCAAAACCAAGATCACTAACTTAGCCTCAAGGCCATAAAGCCTCTTTCATTGCCTCAGTCACAGCCATATATTCAACTTTAGTTGTAGACAAAGTGCCTATTGATTGGAAAATTGCATTCTGACTGATTGCAAACCCTAAAAAAGTGAACACATACCCCGTTTAAGATCTTTTACTATTTAGATCACCAATAAAATATGAATTAGAGAAGCCAATCACATTACAGCTAATGTTTACACCTCCTTAACACATTAAGCCAACATCAATAGTACTTTTAGGTGGTTTCACAAGCTCTCGTGTTTGATCCCGGTGTAGAGACTCAATCTCCTTAGAATATTTGACACATGTAATTGCCTCACGATAAGAGTAAGACTCATCAATCTCTACTTCCACAAATAAAACATAAGAATGAAAATTACCATTGACACAAGTAACAAAATCATCATACTTCTTAGGTACTCTTAAATTCCTTGTAACAATGTTTTGTTGTTGTATATGAGATACCAATTCTTATATCTCTTGTGATTCATTCTAGATTTCACTACCATCCCACACCGTCTTAAGAGCATTGATTTCAAGTTCCACTTACTTGCCAACTTCTTGGTCTAATTTGATTGCAATTCTAAACTTTAGCCCATAAAGTAATACAAAACTTGTCAAAGGTAACATCTCGACTTGTTAAAGAGTTGGGGGACTTACGATCAGTACACCACAACCAATAACCCTGAACCCTATGTGCATAGCTTAGGAATATGCATTCTGTTGTCCTCGACGCAAGTTTACCATCACTTACATAAGCATAAAAGGGACAACCAAATACTTTTAATATAATGTAATCAATGGGCTTACTAGATCAAACTTCCTCAAGAGTCTTAAATTCAATTATAGTTGATGGAGATTGATTTATCAAGTAGTAAGCCATGTTGTTATCTTTTGTCTAAACTACTTTAGATAACCCAACATTAGATAGCATGCATCTTGCTCTTTCCAAAAGTGTTCTTTTCATTTGTGTTGTAACACCATTTTGGTGTGGTGTTTTGACGACAGTACAACGTCTAACGATTCCCTCATTCTTACAGAATAAATCAAACTCACCTTTGCAAAATTCCAAACAATTGTTTATTTAAAAGCTCTCGATCCTTTCTCAGTCTACTTCTCTATCAATGCTTTTCAATGCAAAAAGGTGGCCAATATTTTATTTTTAGCTGTCAAAAATTATGTCCATACCTTTCTTGAAAAATAATTAGTAAAGGTTCATATGTATAATGATCCACCTTTTGATGCCACTAAAATTTGACCCCACAAATCTGAATGGAAGTAGTTTATTGTACTTTTAGTTCAATGAATTATAGTGTTAAATTTCACTATGAATTGTTTGCCATAGACGCAATGCTCACAAAAATCTAGCTTCCTAATGTTTCGAGTCATAGTAAACCACGTTTACTTAGTTTTATCATCCTTTTTCTTGCTTATATCACCCAAATCATATGCCACAAACATGTAACATCATCATTAGGATTATTGGATGAGAATACAAAAATAGTTCCAATGCTCGTGTTTCCCACTAGACGTTAAAGGTTACCAGATAACTTACCCTTCATGATAGTTAAAGCTCTTTTAAATACCTTTAAGACACCATCTTCACCACCTCATTTGTGGGTCTTCTTATTTAACAAACTTAAGGATATAAAAATTTTTTTGGTAAAATACGCCCACCTCCTTAAGTTTTAATCGAAATTTCAAGTGGGCCCATTAATTTTCAAAATGGATATTTTACCCTAAAAAAAAAAAGTTTTGCTGGTAACATAGGCCTAATCGTTAGTCAAATGCTAGTGTTTTCTTCAGTTTGATGATGTGACAATATTAAAAAGATAATTTTATCTTTATTAATTTAAAAATTACTATTATATAATTTATCAATTTTTTATTAATTTAAAAAAAGGCCCCTAATCGAGCTCCCTTGGGAGCACCAATCTAATGCTCTCCAGGGGAGAACTAGGTGATCTACGGGTGCAAGGGACTCTAATGACCAGTCTGAGAGAAAAGAAATAATGGAAAAAAGGGAAAAGGCATTTTAGAAATTTCTTATTTAATGTTAATGTTGTTGACAAGTTTAGGAAGCAGTGTCCATTTTGAAAACTAATGGACCTTTGTGTAATTTTGATCAAAACTTAAGATGGTGAGGGTATTTTACCTAATTTTTTTTCTTATTAGGGACATGTCTCACATCAAGTGTCTTTACCATACCATCAAACATCTTGATTCGGATGGTGCCAATCCCAACAATTGGGAGAGATAAATCATCTCCTAATTATACAGTGCCCATATTAACAGATTGATAAGTTGAAAACCAATCATGCCTAGGACATATGTGGAAACAATAAGTGGAATCCAAGATCCATGTATCCATTAGGTTATCATTGGTAACTGCAAGATCACTATTAGCTTCTTCAAAAGTATCAAAGTCATCTTTAACCACATTTGCACTACTCTCAAGCTTGTTAATCTTTTCATCATCTTTGAATTTGATACAGTTTTGTTGGAAGTGACCTTTTTTACCATAATTCTAGCAATTCTTCCTTTTTACTATAGATTTACCTTTTCTGTTTAGGCTTTTTTCTCTATTTTTTCCTTTTTCACAATTAAGACTTCTGGTTGATTCTCATTTTGGATACCACCAATTTTATTCTTCAATTCCTTAGAATTTAAATATGCCTTTACATTCTCAAGAGTGAGTATCTCTTGGCCATATAACATAGTATCCACAAAGTTTTCATATGATGGAGGCAAAGAACATAAAAGAATTAGGGCTAGGTCTTCATCCTCAATTTTAATATCGATATTCTTTAAATAAAAAATAATTTTATTAAATTCATCAATGTGGGTATTAATGGATGTACTTTCATAGATATTTAGAGCATACAATCATTGCTTTAAATACTGTCAAGGATATATGAAGCGGATTCATCAGAGATTTGGTCATATAAATACTATCAAGCTTAAGCTATATTGCAACAGCAGATTTTTTAGTCATGACTTCTCTTAGCACCTCATTAAACAAATTTAGGAGAAAAGCATTATGTGTATTCTTCATAAGGTCATTTTTCTCACCATCAGATAGATTAAAGGGAAGATGGTTTTTTTTCCCTTTAGTGCTTTCAGCATTCCTTGTTGCACTAGTAATGCACGCATTTTAACATGCCATAGGCTGAAATCCTTTTTTCCATTAACATTTTCAATCTTATACTTGGTTGACGAAATAGTCATAACGAGATTTAAATTAACTCAATACCTTGAAGCTTTAACACCAGTTTGTTGTGAAAATGGAGAAATAATCTCAAAAGAGTTACTCAAGATCTTACCTAACTAATAGAATAGAGAAAGAAAGAAATCAAGCATACTTACAAAAACACAAGAATTTACTTGGTTTCGTCTTTTGATGACCTATGTCCATGGGCATAGCAACAAAGAAAGATCCACTAAGAGAAAAATCAAGAGATTACAATAACAATCTTAAACTCACAACCTTTATCCCACATACAGCTAAATCGCTCTCTTTAAATCTAGGTGTCCATTATTTTTTAACCCCATAGGATCCTTTTATAGGACCAAGTACAATAATTTTATCTTAATACAATTAGGATATCTTATCCTAGTCTAACTAATTTGAAGACTATCTCAACATGGTATACAAGTTTAACTAGAATTAAACTATCCTAGTCAAACTAAAATTCAAAACTATCCTAACATCTATCAACCCTAGAATAGAATGTTGGCTCTGTTACTAACGGACAACCTATGCTTGCATGTAAAATTGAAGAGAAACCCCATGTGGACTAATAATACTTCCCACATGGCTTCCCTTCAATCTACCACCTTGATACCCTGGAATGAGATCCATATGTTCCCCCTTTTGCTATAAATAACAGATTTCCATAGATTGTCTTTTTCTTCACTAAACTTTCAAATCCATTTATTCAGCAGAGCTCTATTTCTCAACTGAAGATCGATAAAACCGAGTCCTCCATACTCTTTCAAGGTACAAGCCAAATCCCAATCCACCCAAAGCATCCTTTTCCTCTCACTTGATTCATTCTAGAGGAACCTCCTCTAATTTCTATCTAATTCCTCCTTAACTCATTGAGGCATTTCAAATAGTGACAAAATATTTCGGTACATTCACTAACATTATAGTCTACAATTACCTTGTATTGAACATAAATTAAGGAAACTTTTGTTGAAACCAATTAAGTTGATATATTTACAAAATTGAAATTTAGAATTTGGGTTATGGATTCAAGAGGGAGAGTTTTCTTGATTAATTGCTTTTAATGATCCTAATGCAATTTCTTTGTTCCTCTAATGAGCTTTGTAGGTACAATGACACAGCTATTTCAAAGTGGTCAAGGTGAAACTTCTATTATTTTGCTATGGACTTACGCTGTAGCTTCAATCTCCTTAACACTTTGGTCAACATTGTTCATGTCACTTGTAGCGTGATTTATAATTCAAATTCCATTCCTCTAGCTTTTGCCACCACAACACCACAAGTATGTAGCTTAATTAAACGCACATTGGTTAAGTTTGCTTTGCTTCCATTTCATGATTTTTGAAAGCTGTGCTTGAAGCTTTTTGTTTGGTGTAAACCTTTTTGTTTCATATAAGAAATTCGTGACTGGTGAAATATTAGTGCTAATTTCATAATTATTTATTTTTCAATAGCATGAAAATCTTGAGGATAGAACTCATTTATATACAATAAAACCTCTATAAATTAGTACTCAATAAATTAATAACCTTGATTAAATAATATTTTTGGTTAGTCTCAACTTGGGACCAATATGAAAAATTAATAATTTGCTAAATTTATAAGATAATCCATTTAAAAAAAAAATACATAGGTCTCACTTGATATAAAAATTAATAATCTCATTATATATCAAAATTATATATATACATGACTCAATTAGGAGGCTTTTGTAAAATATGACTCAAATATTACTTGTTTCTTCTTAAAATTAGTGTCCTTTTGGACCTCTTATTTAAATTTCTTAGTGCATTAAAAAGCTTTGGTGTAGTGTTCTTGTATTGCAATAGAAAATTATGCAATGTGCTTGTTGCTTTCAGTGCATCTTTGCATGAGATAGGCTCTAATATAAAACTATCTTCTTTAGCTTCATCCTTGTTTTCATTTCCCCGTTCTCAATAATTTACTCATCACGAATAATTATAATTCACAATTCAGTAATTAGATAATATTCGTATAATCACGATGCACAATACATGTATTAAGTTCAATGTTTTGGAAAAAATAAAAAATGCCTTAATAAATTAATTTTTTGTTAATTAATGTAAAAATTAATAAATTATTAATTTATTGATTAAATAATATCTCGATTAATTAATAAATTTTCATAGTCCTAAGGATAATTTACAATGGTTACTTGCATTGTTCTGCAGAACATAGATATATGAATAAATTTTTTTCATCTATTAAGAAATTTTGAACCATTCACCACCCTAGTTTTGTGCAAACAATTAAAACTAACTTTCATAACATCCACATGCTTTTTTTCATCATGCAACCCTCACTATATAGCTTTTTTATTGGTAAATAGATAAGGAAATTATTGGATTCAAAATTAGGATTTTCATGAGCCTTGTTTCATTGCAATTAAGAGAATTGAAACCTTTAAGTCTTAAGCTCAAGTTCCACCATAGATTGATTTGTTAATTTAGCTATTTAATTTGTCTTTTACTTTATTCTATTGTATGTAACAATTACATCATTTATGTTGAAATGATTTAATTTTAATTATAATTTCTTTATACAGATATATCACAAAAGGTTGAGAATTTTCATCTAAATTCTTACCACTCCAACTATCCAAGTGAAGCTTAGAGGAAAAACAGAGATACTGAATCTTGAACTTACGTCTCTTTTTTGAAAAGGTGATTAGTGATATTTTATTTATAAACTAGTTTCATCTCTAGATGGTAAATTGTACATTGTATGCTTCAATGCAAGCACATTAAAACTTACCTTGTACAATGTTAATGCTATTTAGAACTCTTTTATGACATGTGAATTTTGTGGAGAAGGACATTCCAATGACAATTGTTCCATCTATTTTGAGTCTTGTCAATTTGTTGGAAATAGGCAACAGAATCATCCTTATTTCAACACTTATAATCCTGATTGGAGGAATCATCCGAATTTTTCATGGAATAACAACCAAGGGTCTTCATCAATAGCTAAGTCAAACTTTCCTCCTGGATTTCCATCTAGAGCCCCTATTGGTGCTCATGAGCTGCATGAACATATCTTCATCAATAACATCCAAGTAATTTTACTATTTCATATACTATTGGTGCTCTTTGTTTTGCTAAAGCTTTATGTGAGTTGGGTGCAAGTATAAATTTGATGCCATTATCCATTTATAAAAAATTGGGTTTGGAAGAGATTAAGCCAACTCTATGACTTTACAACTTGCTAATCGATCCATCACCTATCCTTATGGTATTGTAAAAGATGTTTTGGTAACAGTTGGTAAGTTTATTTTTTCATTAGATTTTATTATTCTTGATATTGAAGAAGATCGTAAACTACCGATCATTCTTGGAAGATCATTCTTGAAAACTGCTCGAGCTTTAATTGATGTGGAAAAAAGTAAGCTTACTTTAAGAGTTAAAGATCAACAAGTAACATTTAGTATTTTTTGAGCTTTAAAATTTTCCAATGAGCATGATGAATGTTTCTCAATTAATGTGGTAGATGACATAATAAATAATGTGTTTATTGAAAATCATCAAGATCCACTAAAAACTTTTTTGCATTCTTCATGTGATATTATTGATGATAAAGTTCTTGAATATGCTAACCATCTTGATGCCCATTCGTGTTTTCCAAGATCCCAATTTGAGTCTTTGAAATTATCAAATATAGCTTCACCAATCAAACCTTCCATTAAAGAACCTTATTCGCTTGAGCTCAAACCATTTCCTAATCAGTTAAAGTATGCTTTTTTGGGAAATTCTTCTACACTACCAATAATTATTTCTTCTTCTCTTTCTAATGAACAGGAAAATAAACTTCTTTGAGTTTTAAGAGACTATAAAAAGGCAATTAGGTGGACCATTGCAGACATCAAAGAAATTAGTCTATCGATTTGCATGTACACATTCTTTTAGAAGAAAATCACAAAGCAACCATTGAGCATCAATGAAGTCTAAATTAGATCATGAAAGAGGTAGTAAAGAAAGAAATTATCAAGTAGCTTGATACAGATATTATCTATCCTATTTTTGATACTTCATGGGTAAGTCCAATCCAATATGTCTCTAAAAAAGAGATATGATTGTAGTTTGTAATGAAAATAATAAGCTCATCCCCACTAGAACTATAAAAGTAAATAGGAAGGAACTGAGTGTGTGCTCAGTCCCTCCCTCTTCGGTTCATCATTACGGGGCATTTAATGCCCTGGACTAACAGCCAAAATTGAAAGGCAGTGGTCACCTTCGACCACCAAACCCCCTTCCAAGCCAATGCCTTGTGAAAACATGCTCACTAGATTGTCCAAAAATTTGGACAATCCAGTTCTTAAAATGGGTCCTCAGACAGAGAGGACAGGAGGAAGACCAAGAGAGAAAGACCCTGCAAAGAAGAGCAACCAAAAAAAAGAGAACGAACAAAAACAAAAAAAGCCAGATTCAACAACAACAAAAAAAACCCATTTTCTTTGAAATAGCTAAACAACAACTAAAAATCCATAACTTTTTAACAAACATTCTACCCTAGTCATAATAGAAGCACAACAATCAAAGAAAAAAAAACAAAAAAATTGAAATAAAATGTGCCATCGAAAAAATGAGTGAAGCGGGTTGATTTTGGGGGAGAGTTTTTGGGTTTGGTCTTGGTTTTGTTAGAAGCGTGCGGTGTCGGTGGAAGGTTCTAGAGAGAGGGAGGCCGACGGAGGGAGAGTGACCGGCAGATAGAGAGAGAGCTAAGGGGAGAACGGTGGCAAAACAAAAAAAGGGGAAAACTCAAGCGATGCCGGAGTAAAGGAGAGAGGAAAATGGGCTGGCATGAAAAGGAGGGAGAGGGGGAGGTCGACAAAAGGGCAGAGGTCGGCGAAGGGAGAGAAAGAGAGGCCGACGGGGAGAAAAATGAAGAAGAGGAAAAAAAGAAGAAAGAGAAAGAAGAAGAAAAGGAGAAGGAAAAGTAGAGAGAAGGTGACGCCGGCGGCAAGGAGAGAAGGAGAGGAAGAAGAAAGAAAAAGAAAGAAAAAAGAGAAGAGGAAAGACAGAGAAAGAGGCGAAAGAAAAAAGGAAGGAAGAGAAGAGAAAGAAGAGAGAAGAACGGCTAGAAAAAGAAAGGGAAAAGAGAAAGTGATATATATATATAATATATATATATATATATAAGAGAACTTATATGCCCAGGAGTTGAACGGTGCCATTTGGGGTGATCTCATAGGCACCAAAAGGTGCGTTTTGGGGCTCAGCTTTGTGGGCCTCAAGAAGCAGATCAATGCGTGAACTTGGGCCTTCCTTGGGTATTCTAGCTAGGCCAATCTTAGCCCAAAGAGGTATAAGCCTTACCTTTTTGCTTGTGGGCCTATTGTAATTGATTTTGGGTCTAGTACATTTTGTCTAATTAAAGTTAATTTTGATTCTATTTTAGACTTTTTTAGAAAAATAGGTTAGGTAAGTTGGCAAAAAAATAAAATATATTTATGATGAATATTTATAATTAGGAAAGTTTCAAGGTTTAGTAAAAAAAGATTAATAAGTAAATAAATAAAAATAACACAAAAAGAGTAAGACCTAGTATGAAATTATTAAGTATGAAAATATATAATGTTTGATTCGTAATAAGACCGATGATGGGATGTCCATTTGGAACGTGAGAAGTCATAATTTTGAGTGAATTTTTCCTGTTAAGGTTTCGATTACGACTCTACTAGTACGATGTGGGGGGGGGGGTCTAAACTCAGAATTTCGATTGTTTCTAATTTTAACCAAGTAAAATATACAAACTTACCAATTAATCAAAATATAGGAGATTAATGGGATCGATAAATTTGTTAATCATAGCAATATAAAATGAATAAAATACATATAAATAAATAATAATTATGAAATTAAAAAATAAAATAGCAATAAAAAAATTAAAAAAATTAAAAAAAAACTTTGGTATAAAAATATGATCTTGAAAAATCTCATAAGTATTTACGTAATAACATACGTAATGAAATAAAAATAAATAAGACGTAAATGTAAAATATTTATTGATGATAAGTATACACAAAGGAAGATAGTAAGTTTTGAGAAAGACAAGAAACAAACATTGAAATTAAGTGCATCATGTACCATGATTGCATCGTTAAATGTCATGGCATATAGAAATATTCTGTATACGAGCATAACCCCAATGATGGGACTTTTCGAGGAAGCTTGCGAAGTTGAGTTTCTTCAGTAAACTCCACAGATGAAAAGATACTTTCGGATCCCACCCATACGATCAGAGGGTTCGGAAAAATATCTTTACTAAAAAAGCTTTTGCTCGTATTAGGATTTGCATTCAGGAAAACGTTACTTTTACCTGCAAACGATTACCCCGATGATGGAATCTACTCAATAAACTTGCGAAGGTGATTTTATCGAGCATTTTTCCTAGGTGAGAGAATACTCGTAGATCCCACCAGCATGATGGGCGGATTCGGAAAGTACACTCAATAAAAGGTTTTCGTTTGGCATTATCTCAATTTTGTATCATGTATTTCATAATTGCATCACGTGTACTTCGAACTCATAAAACCAAATAAAACATTTTAACTTGTTAATAGAATAAAAAATGAATTAAATAAATCAAATTAAGGAACATAACAATAAAATTAATGGGTTAGAATAATATATGATTAAATTGTACCGTTCGTGGAACAGGCGTCACAGGGGCGCTAATCCTTCCCTGTGCGTAACCGTACTCCCGAACCCAACTCTAAATAAAACACATAAACCAGTTATCATTCTTTCGATGGACCTAAAATTAATTTAGGATTTCGTTGAACAGAACAAATTTATTAGGTGGCCAATCACACCTAGGTTAAAAAAATATTAGTGGTGACTCCCCAAGTACGTCACGTCTAGTGGTCGGGTTCCCGAATTCAGCACGTTACGATAGTATGGACCATAGAAAATTAAACAAAGCCACTAGAAAAGATCACTTTCCACTACCTTTTATTGATCAAATGCTTGATAGATTAGCAAGTAAGGATTTTTATTGCTTTTTGGGTGGTTATTCTTGTTATAATCAAAATGCTATTGCTCTTGAAGGCCAAGAAAAACCACATTTACTTGTCCTTATAGAACTTTTGCTTTTCGTAGAATGTCTTTTGGACTTTGTAATGCTCTAACTACTTTTCAAAGATGTATGATGCAATTTTTTCTGATATGGTTGAAAAGTGTTTGAAAGTATTTATGGATGATTTTTCAGTTTTTGGGGATAATTTTGATGATTGTCTATTTAATCTTTCTAGAGTACTTAAGAGATGTGAAGAAACTCATTTAGTTTTAAATTGAGAAAAATGTCTCTTTATGGTGCAAGAAGGCATAGTCTTAGGCCATCAAGTCTCTAGTAAAGGTTTAGAAGTAGATAAAAAAAATTTAAAAAATTAAAAAACTTTCACCTCCCACCGCTGTTAAGGGCATTCGTAGTTTTTTAAAGCATGCTGGATTTTATAAGAGATTTATTAGGGATTTTTCTAAAATTTCTAAACCATTGTGTAATTTGTTAGAAAATGATACCCCTTTTAATTTTAATGATGCTTGCCATGATGCTTTTATGGAATTAAAAAAGAGATTAATTTCTGCTCCTATTATCACTAGTCCTAATTGGAATCTCCCTTTTGAACTAATGTGTGATGTTAGTGATTATGCAATTGGCGTAATTTTGCGCCAACAAAAAACAAAGATTTTGTATCCTATTTATTATGCTAGCAAAACATTGAATGAGGCTCAAGCAAATTATACCACAATCGAAAAAAAGTTGCTTGCTATTTTTTTTGCTTTCGATAAATTTCGCTTCTATCTTGCTAGTACTAAAGTTATTGTTTACACTGATTGAGAAAAAAGATGAAAAACCACTCTTGACAAGATGGGTACTTTTGCTACAAGAATTTGACTTGGAAATTGAAGATAGGAAAGGTACACA